TCTCTTATTTTTTGACCGTTTGAGACGAAACTTGGCGCATTTTATCTACTTATTGGGGACAACTTCTCGTGAAATGAACAGTGTCTGAGAGTTTACGGTTGGCGAGAAAACTGAGAATTACTGAAAAATGTCACGCGAGATTAAAACCGATGCCTAGATTGAATAGATTATCCGAAAGACCTGCCAGAGGTCTTGAATGAGAGACAAGACTCGGGGGGCATTTTTTATTCATATTTTTGCGCATTGTCTCTTTTATTAATAAACTAGAACTGTTTTGTATTCAAACATCTCTTTATCACTGAAACTCGAAGTTTTTCAGCTACAAGCCGAACCAGATCCGTCAGTAAAGGATGTGATACACACCATTGCGTCCGTCTCATCGAGATCTATTGGATGGTGTATCATACTTGTACTGTTGTGTCATACCAAAAGCTTTTTCCACACATAACCTCGGGGATTTCTAAAGTATTTCGAAAAACTCTCCTGTCTCAGCCATCTTGATAGTGACTGTCGGGAATTTTATTTCCTGTTCTGCTCTCATATAGTACAATGAAATGTACGATTTAGTTTCTTTACAGTCAAAAATTTTTTTCGCTCATTTTTTCCTCCTAACGGTACAATAAAATTGCAATTGGCTCATATATATATCTACGCAGCTCTAGCGGGATCGAAGGATCAGGCGCTACGATCAGATTGGATCTTATATGATCGTACGTAAATCGTATGCGATCAGATACAAGCCTACATAAGATAAGATCTAATCAGATAAGATCTTGCATATGCTTTCATGCGCTCGTATCTGATTTTGTACGAATTCATCTGATCGTATTTGGTCATCTATAAGGTTTTACTGCTTCAGACAAGGGTTCGTCCCAAAAAAGTATACTGTCTTAAAAAATTCATTTCTTTTAATCACTTAAAACAGAGCTTTGTTTGTGTTTGCTTGGGAGAGGTTTAGCTCCTATCCTGTACTGAGTTGTACTGTATGGTCACCGGTTTCGGTTTTTAATTAATTCGGTTTCGATTAACCGAAACCGAACATAATCGAAAATGTTGCACAAGTTCTTGAAAATACGTTTGACAGAATATGAAGAAAGCATCTGTTGTTCAATCAACAACTGTTCACCCCGAAAGAAAGATGCACGGTGTACAAAATCAGAAATAAGACAAATAAGTGGTATTTCTGACCTTTTACCATGAAGGAGGAGTTTCCCAAAATTGAGTTTCGCCACAAAGTATGGCAAATTCAATTTCCAAGATTTTATCTGCTGGACGCACCTTTATACCAATTGATCTTCACGATGAAAAGCAGTAAATATCAGTTTTCACCGTAAAGATCGATTTGTATAAAGGTGCGCACAGCAGATAAAATCTTGGAAATTGAATTTGCCATACTTTTGTGGCGAAACTCAATTTTGGGAAACTCCTCCTTCATGGTGAAAAGTCAGAAATACCACTTATTTGTCTTATTTCTGAATTTATACACCGTGCATCATTCTTCCGGGGTGAATAGTTGTTGATTGAACAACAGATGCTTTCTTCATATTCTGTCAAACGTATTTTCAAGAACTTGTGCAACATTTTAGGTTATGTTCGGTTTCGGTTATGATCGGTTTCGGTTAACCGAAACCGGTGCATGCCTACTCACTGTATTAAGAGTGAACAAAGATTATTCCTGTTTTCAGTTCTATGTTACATATATTCCGCTTTCTTCGTTGCAATAAACAAAAAATCTAGCCGATATAAATAGTGCTGATAAATCACTCGCGCTGTCCTCTTTCTGAAGCAAAGAGTGGATGTAATCATAAGTCTGATTCCATCTGTACGATCCATGTATTTGGATTGCATCTGAATCGTATTGTATGATTAGATATGACATAGGATAGAAATCGGATGATAAGAATGATACAATAGATGATAATACGATCTCGTACGAATTTCTATGATCATTTTTATGAATCAGACAAAATGCGATGGCCCGTACGATCTTGTCTAATCGCATTTGATCTTCGTACAACTTTTCGATCTGGATATAAACGTCTAATGTCCCGTGTATTCTTCTGTTGGTCCTCTATGCTTTTATTAGCACAGGGAGACCTAGAATGGTACCTGTAACCTCTTGTAGTATACTATCACCTTCAACGATCCAGTAAAAGTTATCATAGCCCTCAGTGTTCAAGTCCCGAATTATGATGCTTGGATAGTGAGCTTCTTTGGATGAGTTTCTCTGTACAATATTAAGGTCTTATCAGATGAATTAGCGAATGATCAAAGTTTTCGGTATTCAGCCCAAACTTCTTCTACATAAACATTCTAAGTCCTTTAGTTCCTCGAATATTTAGGAAAAATACTCACAGAAAATCTTTCTGAATTTGTTTTCATTTGTAGCTGGTGATGTGTTAAGGGAAATTGAGCAAAGCGATGTTAGCCCAGGAACCTGACATCTCTTTACTCTCATTCATACACTTTTTTAAAACAATAGGTGTTAAACTAAAGAAAAAGATTTTTAATCATAAAGTTACTAAGAAAATCTTTTTTCTGATTTATATCGCAAAGTCAAGATGTGCACGAACTCATTGAAAAAGAAGCAAAATTGTACTGATCGGCGGTTGATTGTTGCTGAAATATTATTTAAGTAATCCGTTATTAATGGATGATTTCGTGGAAAAATTTTTAATGCTAGATCAAAAGCTTTTTCAAAATAGTCCAAAGCTTTGTTCCATTCTTGTTTCCGATGATAAATTCCACCAATATTATTCAGAATCAATGCATATTCAATCGTACTCGTTTCAGATAAAAGTTCTAAAGCTTTTTCAAAACATAGCAATGCTTTATCATAATATTTTTCAAACCAAATGCATCCTCTATTGTAATAAATTAAAGGTAGAGAAGATGCATAAAATGCTGGTATTTGCATTCTGATATTTAATGCTCGTACATTTCTTTCATGTGCCTCTTGTCTCATACTGTCAATAATTTTAGAAAACTGATGCACATCTTCGTATGCGCCTAAATATTTATAATATTTTCTTTTAAATTTTTCATCATTTATAGAAGGTGAACCAAGTAAATATATAGCCCTAACTGGTTGTAGATCATGAATTAATGATATAATATTTTGATAAGAAAAATCCAATATAATCAAATTAATCTTTTTATTTGGACTAGTTGTAATATATGAAATACATAATAATGGATCACTGAATGATTTGATATAATTCGATGGTATGTTGAGTGAACTCGTACCAGACATCGATAAACAAATTATTTCAGTTATTGAGTTTTTTAGCTTTTCATATTTGTCAGTTTGCTGGTCAACTTCTGAACCTTGAATCAGTGAAGTGTAAAAAACAGTTAAAGAAACAATAAATAATATAAGGTATAAAAAGAATTTGACGGTAGACTTTAAGCAAAAGTTATCGTAGTCGTAGGTATGCCGAGACGATAGATAATGGTCAATCGATGTTTACTACATCTTCTTGCTTCAGATATTTGTTTCCAGAGAGGAAAAAGGTCCAGATACAATCAGCGCTCAAAATCTCAACTATAATTGTTTCTTCATTGACAAAGCCAAAAGAGTAGAGTAGCATTTTTGTTGATTGACTTGACAGGAGTTATTTTGCCCAGTTCTGGCTAGTCCTTACTATTTGGCTAGCGCAAAATCCAATGTCGACTGAATACGTCTATCAGTCTACGCAAACAATCAATGAACATATATTAAGTATCCGTCGTGATCTAGGAGTTCCCTTAGCTATGTTAGGCAATAAAACGCTATAACTAGTTTATTGTATTAGCTAGTTCTTTTACGGTTCTCTTCCGACGTACGGTGGGCCTAACGCAGACTTACAGCAAAAAACTTTTCCACCATGTACAAGGTGGAAAAAAATTTTAGCACGCTTGTTATACATCATTGGATACAGCGCATCGAGCTGGTTAAGAAAATGTACTTTTTAAGTTTTGAAAAAGTCTTTTTCATGGTAAAACTTGAAGGACGTAAAAACCCAAAAAATCCTTCAAGTTCAAAAAAATTCAAATTTTCGTTGTCTTTGTTAGTCTGGAGTTTCCGAAGTATATTTTTCTTAACCGGCATTAAAAATTGGAGTCTCGTAAAATTCTGAAAGTCTCGTAATTTTTCAACGTGAAAATTCGAAAAAAATTAAAGTAGTCGGATAGATAGAAATACACATTACTCGACTCAGTTTTTAATGCTGATCCGAGTATGATATTTATATTATATAAAAGTTGAGTTCTGATTTAGAAAATTGAGAATTACGGGCAGAATTTCGACTTTTTCGCCTTTAACTGAAATTGAATAAACGCGATTTTTCTATTCAATTTTTAACGCTGAATAAGAAAAAAATACTTTGGAAACTCCAGACTAACAAAGATAATGAAAATTTGAATTCTTTTGAACTTGACGGATTTTTCGGTTTTTACGTTCAAGTTCAAGTTTTACCATGAAAAAGGTTTTTTCAAAAATTAAAAATACATTTTCTTAACCAGTCCCATGCGTTATGTCCAACGAACAAAATGCTGCAATCTTGCATAAGAAAGACTCTCATTTCTTTTTTAACGACGTATAATACTCACTTTCAGCTTCCCCACTAAATGCAGAATAACTTCTTTTTGAACTTTCTTTCCGCTCGTTAAGATGATCGATTTCTTGATCGATAGCACCGATCAGTGCCTTAATAGTATATTCGCCGAATGGGCGAATGAGAATGGGTAGTTACTATTGTGCTCTCTCCCGTTTCCAATTTCTGTTGCCTTTAATCAGTCTAATAGCTTCAAGAAGAGATAATAAATGTTGTAGGAAACTCAAATCCGGTATACTGCCTATTGCTTCATCAACAGCTGTTGTAGCTTTAACGTTACTCAAATGTTTTTTCAGTTCTAGTAATTTTTACTAGCCTGAAAACGTAGAATCCCACGAGAAAAAGCTTGGCTTACCAGTCTGTTCTTGTTGGAATTGGTTGAACCATCTCTGTACCTGATCACGATCAGGGTCATCTACGTGTAAGTTTGCTAATAGAAACTCACAATACTGTGTTGTTTTATCATTACCATTCGGACCGTCAAACGATAAGTATTTTGCTAGTATTACGTACATATTTGTTTCACCTATTTGGCTCGGTAAATAATTCGATTTTATCTCACCCTCCATCTCATCTTCTTCTGCGCTTCGTACTAATAACAACTCCCAAACATTATCCTGATAAAGAAAAACAAAACTAAAATGGAATTCTGCCAAACTATCTAAAATTGTTTACTGTTAAGATATCTGAATTTTAGAAAAGTTGTGATCCTTAAGAAGAGCTCCATATTACAAATCAGTTGTGTCTGCGAAACGACAAACTGTTTTGGCTTATATTTTTTACTGTAAATACAACAAATATCACAATGAGGAGCTGTAGCTAAGGTAAAACTTTGAACTTTTTATCCAGTACGGTAACAAAACAAATTTACAATCGATTTTACTGGAAAGGGTTTCGGATCTATGATATGATGGGACCTATGTTGATCAATGATCTGTTATTCACTGGAACAATTTTCTCCAATGAAAAGGTTAATAGAAATGATCAGTTTTACATGAAACAAAGCTTACGGACTGATTTGTAAAGCCACAACAATATTTGAAATAGAATACAAGCATTATGAAAGAAAAATTATACTTTTAATAAAACCATCATGTGTTTAGTCTCTTACACTGAGGACCTAATGTTTTGATATGATATGGAAGTTCTCATCGTACTCAACAATCTCGTACGTAACGCGCCTGGAGACTTTGAAAATAGAAAGTAAAACAAATCAAACGGAGAATTCTGATGCAAAAAGCTCTGTATGAAGTTGTCGGGCACTTTTTCAGTCGAGTTCGTTCCAAAAACAATGTCCATCTTTTTTAACCATTTTGTATTCATGTTCTTTATATGTTTTTATAGTAGAGACTGAATTTCAAACAGAAAAGATTTGAGTATCTACGATTTGTTGTTGCGGAAAACATTTGCCAAACCCGTTACCCAAGAAAAACAGGCAGTTGACTATAAGTCATGACTATTCATATCACCGATCCAGCTAAATGTTGATCTACCTCATACTACTATGCGTTCCAAAATACGAGACAGTCAGCCACTTTTTGAATAACTTTTGATAGGAATGAGATAGAGACCTGCGATTTTCGCTGTTCAATAGCCAAGACTTGCGCAGAACTTTCTACAAGCACAAGCAATTATCGAAAAAATTCCAGAGATCGCGTTTCTAGAGGATCTTTGGAAAACTAGCTCCGTTCTCAGAAAACTAACATGCAATGTTAGTAATTTTTTTGCATGCGTAGATAGTTCGGACGTTACTCTACAAAATTATGCAAGTCCCGGATCTCCAGCTGTCGTCGTTCGGGCAGGGCTCGCTTTCCCCGAGCACGTGTCTATCTCCGAGCAGACATCTCTAGGAATCTCAAAATGCCATGGACTATAGGTAATCGACTACGCTGAGCATAGTAGCAACATTTGTTT